CCCGCGCCGCGGCCGCTCCAGCGGGACGAGGCGGTGCGGGGGGAAGATTCCTGCCCGCTTTGGCAGCGGGAGCCGCGAGCTCTCCAGCAGCCTTGGAACAGCCTGGGCAGCCTCCGCGCGCTGCTCGCTCCGGAGCGGCGGCGGTGACGCAGCGCGGCGCACGGGCGCAGCTCCCTGCGCTCGCTCCCACACCGGCCGGGCTCCCTGCCACGGCACCCAGCGCCGGCACCGCAGCACCTGGCTCATGCCAATGCCGCTTCCCAGGGCATCCAGGGCAACGCAGCACCGCAGCGAGGGGCCGCATGGAGCCCCGGGGCATGGAGCAACCTGCACATCAGGCTCCACAGGATGCTCCCCAAGCCAGGAATCCCATCACCAGGAATGCCCAGACCCCTGGCAATGCCAGGGTCGGGATTCGGCGCCAGGATGCGCGCCGGGATGTGCTGCTCCCTCCCACGGTTGCCAAGCCAGGAGGCTTGCGCAGGGAAGGAGCAATCCTGGAGCCAGCAGCCGCCCCGGGGACGCGCTGCAGCGAGTTATCTCGTGCCATCTCCCTCCAGGCAGGTGATTAATCCCCCCAGCTAATTAGAGGAAGGGCCAGSAGGGCCCATTTAGCCTCCGTTCGATCGCCTGCGCCACGGCGTAATGAAACAAGCCGCTCCACGGCGCCGCGCGCCCCGCGCGGGGATCGATGGCAGCTCCGCGTGCCAGCCGGGCGTTATCCTGGCGTGGGAGCAGCTGCCAGCAGATCCAGCCCGCGCCGCAGCCGCCAAACGTGACCGGGCGATGGAGGCGGCGGCAACGGCCTCGCCTCGGGGCACGTTGCGGCCAGCGGGGCTCGCTGGGGACGGGGTCCGTTGCTTGCAGGGGTTGCACCAGTGCTGCAAGTGCGCACATCAGGGAGCACCGTGCATCCTGTGGGTGTTGCACCAGTGCTGCAAGCACAAGCACACATCAGGGAGCAGTGTGCATCCTTGGGGGATTGCACCAGTTCTGCAAGCGTGTGCTTTGGGGAGCAGCGTGCATCCTTGGGGAGTTGCACCAGTGCTGCAAGCACACACTGGGGAGCACCGTGCATCCCTGGGGGGTTGCATTGGTGCTGCAAGCACAAGCACACATCAGGGAGCAGTGTGCACCTTTGTGGGGGCTGCACCAGTGCTGCAAGCACAAGCACACATC